AGGAATAGCATAAATAGGAAAACAGTGACAAAGGCAAACAATAACAATTTTAAGAAGTTTGTCTGTGCCCAAAATAGGCTTCTCACCAAACAGCACCAAATTAAAAGCCTAGTCTGGGCATCAAGTGGGCTCAGTGTTACAGGGTCAAAAAGCTAAAAGTATATAAAAGCATATGTGGAAAGACAAGTGAGCAACAGGTACTTTTCTAAAAGACTATCATCAGGGTGGTCAGGAAACCTACAGAGGGTAATGGAAATCTGTAGCAGGTTGTGTCTTAAAGATGCACAGCACGTGAAAGAAGTAACATAGCTTTCAAACAGTATATGAAAATCTCTTATGCTTAGAGACAAGTACAAGTTGCTGAAATCATGCTGGAACTGAAGTACAAAACAAGGTGGCAAACAGAATGATCTGAATTTAAACATAATTAATTATTTCCCCCCCACCATTTAGGTCATTAAAATGTTGATTATGTAAAGTTTCTGACATTTCTAACAAAAGAAGAAGAGTTAACATTTGTACTTCCATTGAGTCTAATGTGACTAATGACAGCGGGAAATATATGGAGGAAGGAGGTTGGATGCTTGCACTAAGCGAGATATTCTTTGCAACCTGCATTTGTAGCAGAGCAGCCTGATCTTTAACCTAGCCAGTACCCCCTGGAGTGCAGAGTGCTAATACTTCCATTCTGCCCTTCTTTCCGCAGAATCCAGCAGAATGCAAAAATTGAGGCCTTAATTAGGACAGCCTTTTAATGGGAAGGTAGTCAGAGGACACCTGCACCCAAGTGGAATCTACTGTACAAAAACCATTTAAAATCTCATGACCTTAGGAAAGCATAGATGTATCTTACAATTTAAAAAAAACAAAAAAACTAAAGAGTTAACTAAAAGGTTATTTAACTACTAAGATCCAAGTTTAGCACTGTTTCCTTGTTCTACCTGAAGAATTACTATTGATGTCATTACCTGGGGAAGATCAACACTCCTTAAATTCTGGGTGCATCTACATGAGATTTAATGCACAGTAAACTAATTCTGTGTTCTATCATGTCACAGAAAAAAATGTGCTAATGTGCAGTAGAATTAATCTACTGCGCATTGTGTCAGAGACCATGCGCCATTGCTACTGCACAATTATGTAATACAGGTTTCCCTCGCTTTATGATGTCCATGCGTTCCTGGAAAACAGCACATAACTCAAATTCACATAAAGGGAATCCACTTTACAATGTAACAAATAGGGATACGTTCCAAGACCTAGACTGTAGTGACCCATGCGCTGCTTCCAGGGCAGCTGCAGCTCCAGAACCATGGGCACCAGCTGCCCTGAGCAGTGGCTGTGGGTGCTGCTGCCAGGCAACTTCAGGGCTCACAGCTCTCTGGGTGTTGCGCTGACAGTGCCGGACCAGCCCAGGCCAGGCTGCAGGGGCTGGCGCTGCAGAGGAGCTGTGTGCAAGGCTGTCCCTGAGCTGGAGGCTTCACAGCGGTGCCAACCTCATGCCGCCCCTCACATGCGGCACTAGTGAGGGGGTGTGGGGAGCCCCCCCCACACCCCTGGACGAGCTGCCCAGGCGCTGATTGTCCCACCACCTGGCCCAGCCAGGTCCCCACTCACTGCAGCCCCTGCCCCTGCCTGTGCCCCACTCCCTCCCTCCCTCCCTCACTGTGGAGGCCTCGATCTTTAGCCCCCCCCAACCCTCTCCTCCACAGACTTACCTGCTGGGAAGGGGCGGGGTGCATGAGCCCAAAGTGCACCATACAAAGCAGCTGACTGCAGGCTTCCACCACACCAATCACATAAGAGTTAATTTACCTCATATATAACAAATTTTTGGTATAAAAAGGCTCATCGCATAAGAGTGAATTCACACGTACAGATCCTGCATAAAGCGAGGGGAACCTATACCTCATATTAAAAGTACTAAACTTAATGCGCAGTAGCAATGGCACATTAATGCATGTATAGACATATCCTTTTAGAGCTTAAAAGTAAACCAGGAACTTGAATCCTTATAGCTAAAAACAAACAAACAAACAAACAAACAACAAAAAAACCTGCACTATCTTCAGATTAATTTTCAAAATGCATCTGCCATTTCAAGCTACATGTTTAGTCTATAAGAAGAACTATTTAAACAAAAACAAATATACAAATCTGTTTATATGCAAGGCAAACCACATGTTAAAAAACAAACTGAGACTGCAGAACACAATAGTGAAAATGTCACATGATAAAATGGTACACATCAATTTTTTTTTCCATAAAAAAGGAAAGTATCTGTTTAGGTGAAACTCTGGAATGCAAGTAGCCAGTTTTTATATTTGCTCTCTAAACGGATCCAAAAACAAATCTGGGGAAAAGGTGTTCATGAATTGCTCTATTTATAAAATAATATTTAAAAAAAAACAAAAAACTTTACAGAAAACAGAACCCCACCAATAAATACTACACACGCAGATGCCTTAGCACCTCTATGTCATAGAGTATATACCTGCATGAATATTTAGCCAGATATTTGAATTTATAATGAAGCAGTCGACCACTTTTACAAAAAGGAGTTAGTAGCAAATTGAGACTCATTACAAAAACAGAGTTCTGTCCTGAATGCTAATACATGCTACTGATACTTTTAGAAAGTAGCATTTCCCAGGTTCCAGCTAAACAAGCATAATACATCTGCTACACTGAGATCTTAACAGGTCTTGATAAAACCTTATTGCTAAAATTTTTAAATTATCAGCCAGCTTTTGTAATGGAGGCACAAGCACAGCTTCCTGTCTAGCACAGTTTTTTCTGCTCTTATTCTAATGATACACATTCAATTACTACAGAAAAGAAAAGAATCAAATCAGAAACATCTGTAGTTTGCCATATAATTACTGGATCTTCCCCATGGAGACTGACCTTTGTAACACCGATACTAAGACCTGAAAGGCTAAATGACAGAGGATATTCACATGGTTTAAATGTATAACATGATTATAAGGAATTAAATAGGCACTGTTATTTTCCATCTTGGTTTATGTTAACGTAAGCTTGTACTTTATGATCTTATGTTTAATCTTTGTGCTCAGTATGTAGTAGCTGAATTTACTCACTATTAGTGGGATTCACAAACCACTAAAATGCAATGTTTTGATTATATAATAAAGTCGAATACTGTATTTGAGGTTATTATGCAGCCATTACTTTTACCTGTAATAGGAATCTTTTCTACCAAGCTTTCTTCCTTGCTCTCATCTTCACACCAGCTTGTGATTTCTGTATGTGAACACACAATAATGAAACATATTTCAAAGTCACAATGATCAGACTGGTTTGTTTTCTTTTAAGCCCTATTCCCTTTAATATTTCACTTTTGTTATCTCTTGTTTATTGATCTAAACTGTCCATTACAGTTCTTAAAAGAGGAGCCTACTGTGAACTTTAGTCATATATGATGTTACTGTGTCTCTGTGCAGCTCCAGAGAAACCAGTGACCTAACCAAATATCTTAAATTATTTAAGTCCCAATGAGATTTAACAAACAAAAAATACAAACAAATTGTGACTCTATATCTTGTTTAATAGTTTGACAGCAATATTATAGATCATACCAAGCCTGAAAAATTAATTAGTTTAAATCAAAGTATTTATCTCCCTTGGGGATAAAAGTAGCATGAATTTAGGAGACCTAAATCAGTTTGTTTACAGTTACAGTTATCTACTGTGTATAGAGCATGCATCCTAATTGCCTGTCCCTTCTTAGACTTTGATATAAGAAATGTTCTGAAAGCATACTGAGAAAGTTACCATCTTCTAGTCATGGAAATGGGATAACTTCTGGTACTTATTTTACATAACAAAATTAACCTGATTTTCCCTAAACGTATCTTTTTAATTTTGCAAATACAATGCATGACCTCTTTGGTATGAATTTTTTACTTTCAAAAATAAAAAACAAAAGTGTATTTTACCCATGTATATAAAGAATACTTAATTTTTACAGGGCATGTGTGCTTTACAGATGATAGGTAAATATTTTCTTTATATACATATTTATTTATATTTATGATGGCTATTAAGTGTATGCAAGTGGAGGAGTAAACACGCACACACTGAATAGTCACCATTGTGCTTCCATTTCCAATTTACATTTAAAACAGAAAAACCCCCCAGAAACCTAATCATTATAAGAAACGTACATTTTTTAAAAATGAACAGCAAAAATCATTAGTCCTAGTGGATGTTTGAGAAGGTTCTATTGCTCATAAAAAAATTTAAAATATATGTTTTAAACCAGAGTTGCATACATGGCTTCCTACAGACTTCCATACTACATTTTATAAAATATAACTGGAGACAGAAAATAACAATAACTATGAATGCATTTTTTCTTGTGGACAGACCTTTTAACATTAGTTACCTTGCTCCCTTGTACCAGTGTTGTCAAGCCACAGAGCATGTTTTGCTTGCTTTATTTCGCCATTGTCATTCTGAACTGATGGCAAGCTGTAAGATGATTCATTACTATGAATAGATGACCTATCTTCACACTCTTCTGGAAAGATCTCTCTCAATAACGGTGTAGCCTACAGCATTAAAAAATACAAATAAAAATCACTGCAGCCCTATTATCTTTAGTCTCAGAGCAAGAATATTTTCACCAAAGACTGAGTTAATTTTAACTTAACAATGTAATCTTTTCCCAGGATACTGGCTGCTAGATACCGAATTACCTCCAAATAAAATTAGTTAGCTTACTTCATAGTTTAACTAAATTGTGAATGAGAACTTACAAGGATTTTTTAGCAATACATTTTCCAGAAATCATCTGTATTTCTTACTTCTGAGTTATCTATTAGAAAGAAAATGCAATATGATATCTTATATGCTATCAATAAACAAAATGGCTTTTAAAGCATTTCCCCACCTTCAGTTTGGATGGCAAGGCCATTCACAGGATGAGTTAACTTGAACGATTAAGAATGATTACTGATTAAAATCATGCAGAACTCAGAGTACTTGGAATTGAACAGCCTTACCCAAAAGCCCACTGAAATTAACAGGATTCTTCCCACTAATTTCAACTGGGTTTTGGACCAGGCTCAAATATATAGCTCTAATAGCCTAATTCATGGGTCAGTAACCTACAAACCTTTGCAGCGCATCAAATCCAAGCTGCAAAATTACAAGATTCAGCCTGCGGTGGCATGGGGAATCAGCAGCACACAGCTCAGCCTGGCACATCCCTCTTCTCCACACTGGGAGGTGCTGCAGACCCCCTCTGCAGCACCCCCTTCTGCAGCCCTTCTTGCTCTCTCCCTCACACTAACCCTCCACCACCCACAAGCATAGCCGGAGCTGCTTACCATTGCCAGTGGGGGCAGGAGTCTGGGTTGCAAGCCACTGGCCCCCTACTCTAAAAGACTGCTGTCTCCTGGTCTAATTATTCAATAAATGAAGCAACCTTGGAGGGCATGGAATAGTGTCTCAGGGAAATAATCATATGATTATGTTATATATTTACTTGAAAGAATGCAATGGCTCCCACTGGAGGCACACAGGGCTCATAGGTAAATATTATTCACATCCTTTTTTTTTATTCCCTTATTATCCAAGACTAGAATGGTAGTTTTTGAGTTTTACAGGAAATCGCTTTCACTGATTTTTTTTAATTAACCTCATCTACAGGAATCCTATACATAAAACCAATCAAAACAAGCCAACACACACACAGACACACAAAATAAGTTAACCCTTTCTTTAAACATTAAAATATGCATTATAGTCTGGGCTGTGAAATATTTTTATTGTTGAAAAGATAGACTCGTTCCCAATTGGAAGTTCATCCCTTGTGTCAGAAGCAATTCATCAGATATAATACATGAGTGCTACTTGCAATCACTTTACACTACTACAAGCAGGCATATAACATCACCCACATGTGAAAGTAATAAATGAAGATTAAACACTGTGTTTACAGTTAGGAATCAAGATAAAATGGGATGAGTTCCCATCAGGTATATTCCAATGAGACCTCTGAGGGCACCAAGGGCTGAAACTTGGACCACCAAGAAACAGCCTGACAATTGTTGAGGGCCACAAGGGTAGCCCTGCCCCTTGACAGATGTCCCGTCCCCTGGTTACCATCTTGGGACTGGAAGTCCCACCCCCTAACCCCTGACCTCTGGCACCAGAAGTCCCTCCCCTTGCCTCTCAAAGTACTCCTTTTGGGAGGGGAGGGTTGCCATCTTGGAATCAGAAAAAAAAACAAATCATATACAGTAAAAGCTGAGTTATCCAGCACCTTACAAGCCAGCATGCTCTGTTAACTGGCACGCCAGCTTGTAAGGGCTTGTAAGGGAAAAGTGAAACTGGAAGTGCCCACTGTGGCACTTCCTGTTTTGCAGACCTCCTACGGCCTAGGGGAAAGCAGCCTGCGCTACCAAGCCCCCACGGCCCGGGGCATAGCAGCCTGCGTGGGTCCCCCCTCCCTGTCCCTTGGGGCCCATGGAGCCTGCAGGAGGGGCGGTCACGCAGTGGGAGGGGCGGTCCGAACAGGCAAAGACACCTGTTCGGGCCACTCAGTTAACCCGCATATTTTGTTATCTGGCACCCTCCATTCCCCGTGGGTGCCGAATACCAAAGCCTTTACTGTAGTATAAGTCAAATACCTACTATAACATATTTTAATTTTATTACAAAAAATATTTTGTTGTGATTTGTTTGCATAGTGTATATAGAGATGATTCCATCATAACTCAAAAATGTGGGGTGTGGTTGGGGATTGGTGTGTGTGTGTGTGGGGGGGGGCATAGGGTGTATATGAGGGGGTTGTGGAAGCAGGGTGTGGGTGCATGGGGTTGTGGGGTGTCAGGGAGGGTGGGGGGAAGTGTGGGAACTCCCCCATGGACCCTGCCACCAGCAGAAGCAGTAGCAGGTGACATCAGCAGCGGCAGGTGGCAGGTGCTCAGGGCCCTTGCAAACACTACCGCCCAATGGCACATGGCTCCAGCCAGCATTGCACATGGTGGCAAGGCACACAGCCAGGCCAGCCTACCTCTATTCCACAGCTCTCATGTGCAGCTCTCAGTGCTCCTGCGCTACCGGGGGAAGTCCTGTGCAATGGTGCCGAGTTCTTTCCCACTCCCTGCCACAGAGGTCCCAGGACACTTCCAGAAGTGGAAGGAAGTCCCCGCCGCCCCCTCCCCCCCCCACTTACCGGCAGAGTCCTGGGATCTGGGGTGGGGAAGGCAGCCGGCTCTATCACGTGGGCTTTCCCCAGTGGTGCATGAGTGCCAGGAGCTGCATGTGTGCCACGGGGAGCTGTGCACAATAGAAGTGGCTTTGTCTGGCTGCACTAATTGCCACCAAAAGCAGCACTGGCTAGAGCTGTAAGTGCCACTACCGCTGGGGGCTGTGCACCATGGGGGGTGGGGGAGTGTGTGTGGGGGGTCCAAACACCCCTCTACACTCCCTCACACCCACACCCTGCCCACCCGAACTCCATGCTCCTGCTGCCCACCCGGGTGCAGGCTCTGCACTACCACCAACCCCACCCCATGCTCCCGCTCAGGTGCAGATCCCTCTTCCCCCGCGCCCACCGCTTTCCTACCTGCTGTCCAGAGTGAACACTGCAGCAGAGAGATGAGGAGCAGCCACTGGATGCTGAGGAAGCCAAGCAGGTCTCCTGGCAGCAGCAGCCCCACCCAGAAGCTGGGCTGGGCCCTTCCACGCAGGAGGGTGGAAATCATATGCATGGGCTGGGCGGGATACAATTAGTTGGTAGGCACCCACAGGCTGGATGAAATTGCCTGGCAGTCTGGATCCAGCCCATGGACCATATTTTGCCCATCCCTTATCTAAACTCTACATAAGACCACCATCAACCCTGATACAACACAGACCTAACACCCTAACCTGCCACACAAACCAGGGGAACCACAGCAGCCAATATCCTTCTATAAAATGCTGTCAATATACACTCAAGAGGTCCCAGGTAGAGAGCTACACCCCACCACTACAATCTATACCGATCTGACCATGGGATAAAATTCCTTCCTGACCCCAAATATGGAGATCAGTCTGACCCTGAGCAAAGGGGCAAGACCAGGGGTGGGCAATTATTTTGCTGTAGGACTGCTTAATGACTTTCGGTGAGCTGTTGAGGGCTGCAAGGGTAGTCCTGCCCCTTGAGAGGTGCCCTACCAACTGATTGCCATCTTGGGACTGAAAATCCTACCCCCTGCCCCCTGACCTTTGCTACCAGAAGTCCCTCCCCTTGCCCCCAAAAGTGCTCCTTTTGGGAGTGGGGTGGGGGGGAGCTTGCCATCTTGGAACCGGATAAAAAAACAAATTGTATACTAAAAACCAAGCATCTACAATAACTACTATAACATGTACTACATTTTAATTTTATTTAAAAAAATATTTTTGTCCCAGCAGCAGCATTGGCATACCTATCAAAATTCCCAGCCTTAGCTGTAACCAACACCCAATGCCTCTGGGAAAGCTTAAAAACACCCTGACACATATAGTAGAAAAAAACTGGGGGTGGAGGGAGGCACCCAGCAAAGTCTAGAAGCACAGGAAATGCCCATGGAAATGCCCATGGTAGAAAATAGATATAGCTACACCTAGATTATCCTGGCCAGTGGATGTCCAACCTCTTCCTGAACATCTCCAGTGATAGAGATTCCACAGCTTTCCTAGCTAGTGCATTGCACTGCCTCACTGTTCTAACAGTGAATACATTTTTCTGGATATCTAATCTAAACCTACTTTGCTACAACTTCAAGCCATTGGTCTGCATCCTCCTCTCTGCAGTAGCTCTTCAAGTAACTGAAGACCACTATCATATCCCCTCTGAAGCACCTTTTCTGCAAGCTAAACATACCTAGCTCCTTCAGCCTCTCTTTGTATGAATTGCTTTCCAAGTTCTTTATCATCTTTGTCACTTGCCCCTTGACACTTTCTAACTTCAACATCCTTTTTAAAACATGGAACCCAAAACTGTACGCAATACTCTAGATGAAGCCTAACCAGCCCTATTGCCTCCTGTATCTTGCACCTAATGCTTCTATCCCAAAACTGCACTCACCTTTTGTGCAGGTGCATCACACTGCAGACTCATACCGAGTCTGTCATCTACCAAGACTCCCGAGTTCTCTTCCACAGTGCTGCCATCCAGCCAGGTGTCACCCATTTTATATTTGTGTTTTTGATAACTCTGTCTGAAGTGTAGCACTTTGCATTTGTCTGCATTAAACTCAATTCCATTAGCTCTACCCCAACTTTCCAATCTGTTGAGATGTTTCTGGATTGGGATTACATCCTTCTGTATTTGCAGTCCTTCCCAGTTTCATGTTGTCTGCAAACCTGCAGACCCCCAGGGTTCTGTGGACCACAGGTTAAAAAACACTGATCTAAATCATTAATAAATACTTTGAACAGCACCAAATCCAGAACAGACCCCTGTGGAACTTCATTCAAAACCTCCTGCCACTCTGACATGGACCCATTAATTATTATTCTTTGCTTGTGGTTATTGAGCCAGTTATCTGTCTACCTTGTAGTAGTTCTATCTAGC